ACGCTTGTGTTGCGCCCGAAACGTCGTGATGTAATTTAGTTGTTTTAATTTATTTTATTTTTTACCTACGTGACTTTACCATAAAAACAAAAAACCACAGAGTATGAATAGTTTCATAATTCCATGAAAGTTCACGCCTCGGGCATCGAGTCCCACTTCAACACCTCGCAAGGTTCGCTCGCTCGCAAAATGCAATTAGAGGCTCAGCCCGAGTGAAGTTGGCGCCGCCGCAGGGATGGAACGCGGATCTGGGAGCGCGTTTGGGCGACGAGCGTTCCACCGCAGTGTCGCACGAACACGCGGGCGCAGTCGGGGCGGTTTGGTTTCTCCAGGAGGGCGTTCGCATTCGTTGAGGAATCGCAGAGAACACATGTTCTGGAGGGTTGCAGAGAAGCGTGCTGGGACGCACGCGAGGAGAGAGAGGAGCAGGTGGAGAACACGCGCAGGCTAGAGACATCGTCAGGCTGATATTTATCCAGCAGTGGATAGGCCATGATGGCGATGATGAAAGCATGGAGAGATGCACGCGCCGAGTGACATTAACAGACACAAAGTGTCATATGTGGATTGGAGAACACGCGTAGGACATCGAGCAAAGACGGTCACTGCATCGTGCGCTTTCAGATGCGCTTATGTGGCCGTCTGGAACGCTCCTCTTTCCGATATTTTAAATCAACTAGATTGACAAACTCATTTCTTTAGAATGACGATAGAGAGAACAATATAGAGGAGCATCATTCGCAAGAGTGACCTGGGTCACCAAAATTACAACAAAAACATACAACTCACCAATGAAGCAAAAAATTATCAGAGCAAAAACAACTGTGGATGGTAAAAAGAGACCTTGATTCAGTGAGCTGTGGACCAGAGCGGTGAGTGAAGCAGCGGCGAAGAGCAGAGTCGGCACGATGGAGCTCGGCACGCGGTGGAGACGCGGACACGGACAGAAGGGACAGAAGGGACAGAAGGGACAGAGGGAAACGGCTGGAAGCGCTCGGGATGGGGATATGGAGGAGGTGGAGCGCAAGCTGGACAGAGCAGACCGATGAAGAAATCTTGAATGACATCAACAAAAGAAGGAATGGCAGTCGAAGTCACCAGGAGAAGACGAGAAAGTGGACTGGACGCGCTCTGCGAGGACACAGGTTGATGAACGAGGACGTTACGGAGGAACGGAAGGGATGAGAACGTGAGGGAGGCCGAGGATTGGGTGGTGGCGGAGCTGAAGGAAGGAGTGTTTGTGGACATTAAGAGGAGGGCAGAGATGGATGTAGAATGCAAGAACTTGTGCATTGCACTCGATTACATAACAAAATGGCTCAGATCTCCCGCTGGAAACTCATGCACAACAGGGGGAAAACATACTAAGTGCGCACGCTCACTCGCTCGCAAAACTCCACACAGAACAGGGCCTAAGTCGGAAATGTAACTCAGGCTCTTCTTGCTGTGAGGCCCGTGCCCCCCGACAAGCGAGAGGCGCCGTGCACGAGCTGGCGCCGTCGCCGGTCCCCCCGTGGGGGGTCCCGTCACGAGCCGTGGCCCGGAGGGCTCGCGGAGCCACAGAGGCCTGGCGTAGCGTCCCCACTCACGGTCAATCAGTGTCGGGTTTTGTGTTGTTAAACGCATTTGCTCAGCACAGACCCAACGGCCCCAATCTCTTTGCTGATGACACTGTCATGCTAGTGTTGGATAAAAATACAAAGTTAAACAGATCTCCACAATGATTCAATATCAATTCAAAATCTATTTTCATCACTAAAATTGCTCTTTAATCTCCCAAAAACCCAGATCATGCTCTTTTCTTTTAAAAAATCCAGTTTCATTTCCTTCACTTATTACAGATATCAGAAACAATATCATTGACCAAACGAAGTGCTTCAAATTCTTGGGATTACTGATTGATTCAAAACTTACGACTTCACATTGATTGCATCTCAAAAGAAAATCTAATCAAGAATAGTTTTTATACAGAAACTAACAATGTTTTCAGATTTGATTGCACCTGCAAGTTGTTGAAACTATCATTCTACCACTTTATGAGTATTGTGAAGCTGCTTACAGCACTGGATATACCATACAAGACCCAGAATTGTGACATCCACTTAAAATCCAAAATCACATCATTTGATGCTATAATAAATCTACATTGGGCCCTTTTTATCCATAACATCCTCATTAGTAAATCTGCCCTATATTTATCCAATGCATTCACTCCACTGTCAATCCCATTTAACCCAACACATCCATCTATTTGGCTTTTGATTATCCCTCGAACAAGAACTGGGAAAGGCAGCAAGGCCGTTGCCATTGCAAACAGGACAAACGTTTTGGAACAACCTTGTTTCCTCAATTAACATCGTAAACCTTCCTAAAAAATATTCTGGAGCAGAAGATTAGTGCCGGATACAGCCTCAGTTTAAAATGCGATTTGTAACTTTGACCTTACCCGTGTATCCACAGTTCAATTCTTCCGTGCAATGTAATTGAAGGTCTGTGTGTTTGTCTTGGTGTGGTCTGGGACTGTTGTTGTTTTGCTGCCTTGCCCCAAGCTTGCATTTGGTGTTAACAAATTAGCAGGAATGTTTGTAGTTATGCAATTTGTACTTCTATACTTTATTTTATTGACTTATTTAGTGACTTGATGACACTGTCTCTATTTTGCAGTGGGATCGTCTTTTGTACTGTTTGTTGGGGTATTTCGTTGAACAGCCCCCACTGGACATCTGTGAAAAAGGGCTTCATAGCTCATCGGATTCCTCTTCAAGTATTAAGAAAGATTCGCATTCTGAAATGTTAAGCGACCGGCAACAAATGTCCCTGTTAAAGTTAAAATGGATAGGAGGGTAACGCGTCTCTTGAGCCGAGCCGGGTTATTCTTGAACGAGCTTGGGGGAAAGAGCCGACGACGGGGCGGGATTCCAGAGTGGAGGGCAGAAGCAGAGAGACCCGTGGTGCGGCGAGTGGCTTCGCGATTGGGTGAGCGTGTCTTTGTCCACCTAGCCTGGCACAAGCACCGTCATGACGTGACCGCCACTTATGGTCACAGTCGCTGTGGTGGCAATTTAGTTTGCTGAGTCGGTGTTATGCGTGGATTGTTCGTACGTTAGAATTATCTTTGATAATAATTTTAAAAAATATACTTTGATCATCTTGTACGGCGTGTATTTGCATAATATTCATCGCCACCACCAACAACAACACCAACACCAACAACTGGCCACGTGGCTCTGTGGTAAAGCTTGGAGGGGTTGACTCAGCCCATCACCCCCCTCCCTCCGAGGTCTGTAAATGAGCATCACTTTGTCAACGGTGGTTCTTGCCCTTTGGATAGACTCACCCCTGTCAGAGAAACGTGGAATTGTTGCCACTGGCTCAGGGCTGTAAAGAGGAGATGATCACGGCCGCAATGCTCATTTGAGGAGATCATCGTTTAGTTTTTTTATACGGCGAGAGGGTGCAACCACCACAACCACCGCAACCACCACAACCACCACCTTCACAGCAACCACCACAACCACCGCAACCACCACAACCACCACAACCACCACCTTCACAGCAACCACCGCAACCACCACAACCACCGCAACCACCACAACCACCGCAACCACCACAACCACCGCAACCACCACCTTCACAGCAACCACCACAACCACCACCTTCACAGCGACCACCACAAGCACCACAACCACCACCTTCACAGCAACCACCACAACCACCACCTTCACAGCAACCACCACAAGCACTACTAAAACGATCGCAACCACCACCACCACTCCCCACCTTCTCCTACAGGCACACCCCTGTTGACAAGGTCCACTGATCGTCACCTTTGACCACCCTAGCCGAACAGCACAGCTACACAATGCCTACAGCAGCAGCAGCACAGCTACACACACACACAGGAGCCTTTGCCTCCATGTGGGCGATGTTTACATATCGCTCCAGGTACTCATTTGAGGCCGAGTCACTCTCGGGGAGGCCCAGGACCGGTTCAGGTAATTGCCACTGGTGTGGACCGTGAGCGGGAATCGAACTCAGACCACTGGGTCCATAGCGCAGCGCGCTAACCACGACGCTACCGCTCCACTCACAAAGACACATGCATACACTAACACAGACAGAGCTTTCCACACAGCAAAGGATATCACACAAGGACAGATACACACACACACAGGGGCACACGCACAAGGACGGCTACACACAGTGGTAACTGTACAGTGACACACACACAGTGACACACACACAGTGACAGACACACACAGTGACATACACACAGTGACAGATACACACAGTGACAGATACACAGTGACACACACACAGTGACACACACACACAGTGACACACACACACACAGTGACACACACACACAGTGACAGACACACAGTGACACACACAGTGACAGACACAGTGACAGACACACAGTGACACACACACACAGTGATACACACAGTGACACACACAGTGAGAGGCACACATAGCTGTACAGTACTGATACACTGTACTCACTGTCTGTACCCACGTGGGAGACGTCGCGCACGTGGCCTCTCCGCTCCGTGACCCCTCCGCTCCGTGACCCCTGGCAATCCCATCCCACGTGACCCCTCCTGACCATCGCCCCCCCCCAACCTCGACCCCCCTCCCCTCACTCATAAGTCCTATCCCAGAACCTCTTTTATATTTCCAAACACGGTTGCGCTATCAGCCAATAGCGTGTCCGCCTCGCAACAGCACGTGAACACGCTCCGCCAATCAACACCACGCTAGGGGGGGCTCGCCTGTTTATCTGAGCTGGGAATTGTAAGAGCGCTCCGCGGCTCCCAAGGCGACCCAAGGTGAACTCCGAGTCGTCCCCAGAGACGCGTGGACTCGCAGTTACCCTGCCTCCCTGCAGTTACCCCGGACTCGGGGTTACCCCGAGTTAGCCCGGACTCGGGGTAACTCGGGGTAACTCTTGAGTTGATAGCCGGAGTTTGTGAGTTCGCCGAGTGAGTGCCTCACACCTTGACGCAGTCCACGGGGTACATCACGCAGTGCTCCATCACCCCGGCCAGCGCGCCCGCCACCATGTGCGTGCCCATGGACACGGTCGGCGGCAGCGCCTCGTACTCGATCTCGCCATCCGCGGCGACGGCGGCGGCGGAGTCCTTTTCTTCCTCCATCGTTCCTCGTCCGTCGTCCTCTGCCCGCCTCCCTCCCCCCGGTGCCGCTCTCGCTCCGCGCGGCGCTCACGCGGGATGCGCTCGCGTCTCTCCTGCTGCTGCGCAGACTCCCACTCGCCCCGCCCCCTCCCACTCGCCCCGCCCCCTCCCACTCACCCCGCCCCTCCCTCCACTCGCCCCGCCCCTCCCTCCACTCGCCCCGCCCCCTCCCTCCACTCGCCCCGCCCCCTCCCACTCGCCCCGCCCCTCCCACGCGCCCCGCCCCCTCCCACGCGCCCCGCCCCCTCCCTCCACTCGCCCCGCCCCCTCCCACTCGCCCCGCCCCTCCCTCCACTCGCCCCGCCCCCTCCCACTCGCCCCGCCCCCTCCCTCCACTCGCCCCGCCCCCTCCCACTCGCCCCGCCCCCTCCAACGCGCCCCGCCCCCTCCAACGCGCCCCGCCCCCTCCCACGCGCCCCGCCCCCTCCCACTCGCCCCGCCCCCTCCAACGCGCCCCGCCCCCTCCCACTCGCCCCCTCCAACGCGCCCCGCCCCCTCCCACGCGCCCCGCCCCCTCCCACTCGCCTCGCCCCCTCCAACGCGCCCCGCCCCCTCCCACGCGCTGGGGGTTCCGCCCACTCGAGGCAACCCTCTGGGGGCTCAGGCCACGCCTGCCGCCCTGGCCACGCCCACTTCAGCTCACGTGCGAACTTTAAACCCCCCGCCAACTTGGCTTGGCCCAACCCGATGTTCGGTAATACCACTTTTTTCAAATTTTCTTGCTTTTGGTTTTCACACCTGATGACGATTGCTTGTGTTGGAATCGAAACGTCGTGAGAATTTTATTGTTTTATTATTTATTATTTCCCTTCTACATGACTTTACCGAAAGAACCAAGAATATGAATACTACTGTCGCGTATTTCATTGCAGTGGTCACGTTTACTTAGTTTCGCCCACTCGAGAGTGGTCACCCACGCTTGGCTCCTTTCAATCTTCGATTCAGAATCACCCGCCCCGCCATGGGCACGTCCGGAATGGGACGAGGTCTGGGCTGACACGGGAATGGCAGCTACGTCAGGGAACGATCCTGAGGGGACGTTCACGCAGAGATGGAGCGACTGAATCGGCTCGTGTGCAGGAGCCAAGCGGATCGTTGTATCGCAAATTCGTGAGAGATGGCGACAACTTGAGTGGGCCTTCATCCAGCAGTGGATTGATCGTCTCGTTTGCCGATATAAAACAATCGATTCGTGAATAAAGTCATGAACACGACAGTAATGGTGGCAGACGCGACACCTAAATCGCTCAGAATCTCAGTGCTGATGACACTCATGTTAAGTCTTGGGTAAATATCCAAACGATGTCAAACAGAATCTCCGAACAAGATCTAAATTCAAATAAATATCAATTGTCATCACTAAAATTGCTCATAAATCCCCCAAAAAACTAAGATCATGCTGTTTTCTTCAAACAAAAATCCACTTTAATTCCCTTCATCTATTACGGATATCAGAAACAACATCGTTAAACAAACGAAGTGCTTCAAATTACTGGGTTTACTGATTGATTCAAAACTTACATTCCAACCCCGTACGGGGCAAATAAGTTCAACATACATGCATACATACTGATCACATTTTAAAGCAAATCAAATAACAAATAGGCAGTTTATATAGAAACAAACACTGTTTGAATGATCTATTACGCCTGCAAATCGTTGAAACTATCATTCTACAACTGTTTGACTACGGTGATGCTGCTTACAGACCAGCTACTAATGAATCACTAAACAGACTAAACCCGCTTTATCATTCTGCACTTAGATTTGCACTGGATGTACCACACAGAACCCACCATTGTGACCTCTACTTAAAATACAATCTGACATCAAGAAGAAATCGACATTGGGCCCTGTTCATCCAGAAAGTTACTTTGGAAAATCTTCCCGATACTTAGCTCACTGATTAACCACATTGTCAAATCCAAGAAACTTAAGACGTCAATCTAATTTCTTTTTAAATATTCACAGAACCAAGTTTTGAACAACTTGTTTCTTCCCTTAACATCGTAAATCTTCCTTCAAAAATATTCTGAAACAGATTAGTGCAGATACAGCCACATTTTAAAATGTTATTGGCAATTTTGACCTTACCCGTGTATCGATAGTTCAATTTCAATGCGCAATGTAATCGAGGGACTACAGTGAGGGAAAAAAAGTATTTGATCCCCTGCTGATTTTGTACGTTTGCCCACTGACAAAGAAATGATCAGTCTATAATTTTAATGGTAGGTTTATTTGAACAGTGAGAGACAGAACAACAAAACAATCCAGAGTAATCCAGAAAAACGCATGTCAAAAATGTTATAAATTGATTTGCATTTTAATGAGGGGAATAAGTATTTGACCCCCTCTCAATCAGAAAGATTTCTGGCTCCCAGGTGTCTTTTATACAGGTAACGAGCTGAGATTAGGACCACACTCTGAAAGGTATTTTTTTCCAAAATTTCGAAAAAAATTATGCAAGAGCCACAATGCATGTGAATACGAAACGGCGGTCCTTCATAAATAACGCCACGAAGCAGTCCTTCAAGCGCCGCATGCGGCTCCGGAGCTGCGGTGTGAAGCAGGATGATGATGGGGTGGAGGGGGCAGGGAGGGATACGCGGCGGCGGAGGTAGTTGCGGTGGGGATGACGACATCAGGCAGCGTGCGAGACGTCACGTGGTGGGTTTGATCTGGTGAGCAGGGCCGTGTCGAGGCGGGTTTCTGCACGAGCACCTTGTACAAGCACCTTGTCCTGTTTTCTTCAAATGATTTATTTATGGAACTGTAATCTGCTTGCGGGGCTCCAACAAGGCCACACTACTAAAGCGTTCAAAATACAAGGCAACCATTGGCGCCAATAGTGGACATTGTAATTCATAAATAATCAGACAACATGCCACCTCCTTTACATATCTGCCTCTCCACATAAACAAATACAACGTATTCTTTTACACATCCCAATGCGTCTCAGCAGCATTGGATTGATACAAACAAAAATCCCACCCGGTTTCTGCTGATGAGACACTGCATGTCAAAACCAGTCCAGTATTTGCTAGTATTAAACCAATACAGTACTACTGAAATGTTGTTTACTCCCAGAAGGCCATCCGATAGAGGCAAAATAAGCAGATTATCTGTGTAACAATTTTTTTTCCTGGGTAGTAAGTGTTATTTGTGACCAGTACAGTGATATTTTGAAATTTACCTATTTTCCAGAACATTCCAGATAGATTCAGTGCTGAGTAAACTTGGAGTAACTTCTAGAACATTCTAGAACTTTCCAGTACTATAAATTGTAGTATAAATACAGGGGCCTTTAAGCCCACCAGTTCAGTTTAGTTCCAGCTGTCTAAGTGGATATATATCTGCATTTTTTCTGAGATGGCATCAAGAGGCTACAAGCATCCGGCAGACGCATTTTGCTATGTCTGCGGCCAATTTATCAAGACAAGAGCAAAAAAAGTACTCTGTGGTAGCATCTTGCTAAGATGTGTGAAGCCTACAAGGCATATTTCGGCATGCCTGTCGGAGATCAAGACAAACCCAGGGCACCTCATTTCACCTGCGAGCAATGCAAAAAAACTCTGGAAGGTAAGATGGACAATTTGTTCAAAATTTTAAAATTGTAAAAGTTTTTAATTTTTAAATGTTTTACAGTTTTAATTGTTATTGAAAAAATATATCATATTTGAAAAATGTTGCGAGAATCGCTTACACATTAGTCATGGGGGAAATAAATTTATTTTTGTAGGATGGTAGAGGGGAAAAGAGAGCCATGAAGTTCGCTATCCCAAGAATTTGGCGGGAACCCACTAACTACTCAAGCAACTACTTCTGCAAGGAGGACCCTTCCAAACGTCGGACTGGCAAGAATGCACCTGCTATCACGTATCCGGACCTTCCTTCATCCATCGCCCCGGTGCCACACTGTCATTAGCTCCCCGTACCCACTCCTCCGGAGCGAGAGCAGTCGTCTTTAGAAGAGAGCAGCAAGTCAGAGAGCGAGGAAGACGTTGTAGATCCAGATGACAATTTCAGAGGTGGAGCTGAGGAGAGAAACTCATACTACCCCAACCAAAAAGACCTCAACGACTTGATCAGAGATCTTGGTCTCACCAAGTCCAATGCCGCTTTTGACATCTCGGCTCAAGCAGTGGAACTTGTTGGATGAAAGTGTGCAAGTCGCAGATCAGAGGAAGCGTCACCAACCTTTTTGCACTTCTTCACCTGTTAAGATGGGCTCTGCTTCGGCAAGGTGGTTTTACCAAGTTTCCCTGGTCTCTTTGCCTTTGGGACAGCAGGGACACCAAGGTGCACTACCACAGGCTGGACTGGCCACAGCGGACCGAGTTCTCCGTGGGTAGGAACAACGTCAAGTGGGAGCCACTGGTGGACCCCCGGAAGGTGCTGATGCCACCACTGCACATCAAATTGGGCCTCATGAAACAATTTGTCAGAGCTGTAGATAAGGAGTCGGCAGACTTCAAGTGCCTTCAAGACTTCTTCCCGAAGCTGTCTGAGGCATAGGTCATGGGACCACAGATAAAGAAGATCCTGGAGTGCAATGAATTCCCCAAGAAGCTCACTAATAAGGAGAAAGCGGCTTGGGACAGCTTTGTCGCAGTGGTTCGTGGCTTCCTGGGCAATCACAAGGTCGAAAACTACGTGGAGCTGGTTGAGACTCTGGTGAAGAACTACGGCACAATGCGCTGTAGGATGTCCCTCAAAGTCCATATCCTTGATGCTCATCTTGATCAATTCAAGGAGAACATGGGAGCGTACTCGGAGGAGCAAGGCGAGCGCTTCCACCAGGATATACTGGACTTTGAACGCCGCTACCAAGGACAGTATAACGAGAACGTGATGGGAGACTACATTTGGTGGCTGATTCGTGAAAGTGTACAATATAATCACAGTATAATCGTAAATCTCGAAAAACTACTTACTTCTAAATCTTTTGTAGTCATTTTTGTATTACTTTAGTGTAAATACATGTTAATTTTGATTCATATGTTTTGTTTTCTGACTTTATGTGAACGAAAAGACACAAATTCGCCCTTTTTCT